TCCACGGTCGGATGTATCCACAGGGCGACGGACAGTCAGCAGCACACCCTTGACACCCTGGAGCAGAGCGTGAGCGTGCTGCTGGAGCGGCTGGGGAGCCTGGAGACCCGGACCGCGTGGGTGTCCCCCCATGCGTCCTCTCACGCGTCCCCCCACCCCGTCCCGCCCTCGCACCCCAGGCGGACCAGGGACGCGAGCAATACGAAGAGGATGCCCATCACTGCCTTCCTCGGTGAGTCCAGCATGGGTCCAGCATGAGTCCAGTATGGGTCAGGCATGGATCAAGTCGATGGTTAAAATGCAGAAATAGGTTTTTGTAGGAAATAACGGGGATGAATAAAAAACCGATGCCATCGTTGAATCGAACCGATTCGAATAAGAAGTGCTGGAATCGCCTTTCAGACGAATATGTGTCACGCATTAAAGTGGAACGATCCCGTTGTCTAAATGACTAATAACTGTATTGGAAGGTGCCATCGGTTAGTGCTTGGAACCGCTCGGATTCGTGTTTCTCAGACGAAGGATTAAGGGTAAAATACCCAGGGATGGACCGTTTCCCTGTGATGGACCACAACACATAAAACTTCCAACGGCTAAGCTTCCATAGCAATCCTGTTGTGACGAGCACAGCATGCAAGCACCTACACGTTTCAGAGAGGTTCGTGTTACAAATTTCTAGTTTTTGGAATTTTCCTGCGCCGTGGCCCGTCACTGAGTACACTCCCTTAACCCAGATTCTACGCTTCATGTGTGATCTCGATAAACTAATTGACGACGTGTCATTGTCCTTATTAGAGGTAACACGCTTTCGCTCGAAATCGTAAACAAGATTTTCCGAAAGTCATCCGTCGATCGAACCGATCCTCGACGAAAGTGAACGGAATCCTGAATCCTCCCGCCGCAGGTTCGAACGGAGAGAACAGCACGAAGGTGATTTACTTCACGGAGAGGACGGTGACCCCGTTCCTGACCTCGGTCCCCCGCCGACTGGGGGAGGTCACCCTGGCCGACTTCAAACAGGTCTTCGACCGAGCCGGCAACTATCGATTCCACTTCCGATCTCACGATCCCGAGTTCGGCCTCGTCAAAGAAGAGGTTAAAAACGTTTAACTTTCATTTTCATTTTATAATTTATTTATGTTTATAATTTGTTT